CCCTCAGAGAGATTATTAAAAATATATTATAAATGAGCACAACTAAAATTAAAAAATAAAACAACTAATCTTATACTTTAAAGAATACAAGTAGGACATCAAAAATCTATAATCCTTTTCAGAAATTATCCCTTTTTTTGTGAGCTTCAATTGATTTTTTATTTACCTCAATTTTATTTTAATATCATTTGTTTGATAGTGTTTCAATTTAGCATTAACTTGTTCGGTTAAAAGATAGAGTTATTAGTTCTTGAGAGGGGAAGAACAATATGGAAATCTTTAGATCTTTATTGTTACTGAAATATGATAAGAATTAAAATGATCATTTCAAAATAAATTTAAATGACATTAAACAATACTGACAGGAAATAAATTATATATTAAATCTGTAAATTTAAATTTAGTATTAAAATGTTTTATACTTCATTGCAACCGGTTTGGAAGTTATATCAAGTAGAGCACTAACCATCGATACCAACATAACAGGAAAAAAAAGATCTTGTAAATAAATGAAAATTATGTAGGCCACTAAAATAGAACAGTACCCAACATTAATCTTAAATGTATTTCCATACAATATTACTGCGCAGAGAGTATATAAAAAAGTATATAAGATTATTGGTTATTATTTTCAATATAATCCTCAAAAATAGGAAAAACTTTTTATTGAAACTTTGATGATCCCAATTTTTTTTTTGTCCTAGTGTATCTCCAAAATTTTGATATCGACAGTTAAAACGATTTAGAAAAGATTTTAACGTTCTTATTTATTAAACTAATGAGTGGAATTTTTAATAACTAAGCGGTATTATCTATTATTATTATTATTATTTTTTTACAAATGTCTAATCAGGATCTGTTAGTAACATCCGTAGACATTAGAATTACTCGTGTTTATTTGCAATAGTATAGGTCAACTCATTAGATAAGAACTATTGTTACATACTAAAATTTTTACAAGGTAATAATTACAAAAATCCTATCAATCAGCCTTCTGTCTCAGGATTGTGGATTTTTCCAATTATTACCAAACATTTAATGTCTGTTGTTGAGGTTTTTGCTCATTTATATAAAATTCTTATATTTATGGTACAAACTCAAAAAATATTTTTTTTAAATCATACTAATAAAATTTAATACATATTTAGTCTTCCAAATTCACTCTTTTGCAGAGTATAAGTTTAATATGTATATCTGAAAAAATAAAACAAACAAAAAACTATTCTCAATATCATAATTAGATAACTGGATAAATGTTTTGTTTTTTCTACAACAGATTAACTTAAAATTAACAATTGATGGTAAAGTAATAGTCAAATTCTTGTAATTATATCCATTTTGAATATATTATTAAGAAATTTATGTTATGTTTTATGAACTTATTTTTTAGCAACTTTTGATTTACAGAAGATTAAATTTGATTTGCAAAAGGATGAATTAGTAGCCAAATCAAAAACTATTAAAAAAATAAATAAATAAAATGTATTCCAATAAATTAAATAAAACTTCTAAATTTATAAGTCTAAATAAAAAAATCTAATCAATCATTTGAATATTTTTTGAGAAAATATAAAAATGTAAGTTCAATGGTTTTTATTGAAACGTAATTCTTAATTTGTGTTATATTAATGTATTGACTAATTTAAAATGGCTTCTGAAATATTTGAGTTTTTAGGCATAGTAAGAATATTCACATTAATTTAATTGGAATTTATCAACATAATGCACCACATGACATGCATTATTTATAATTAAAAATAAGTATGGAAAATTTATAGAGTTGCTGAAATAGTTGGGGTGTTAGAGTTTTTATGTATTTAAAAATGACATTTAAAAAATATCTTTGTTTTGTCCTCTATTCACAACATAATCAAATAAACTTGGAGAATGTGCTAATTTACTGAATACTAATTTAGATAAATGTAAAGGTGGTAGTGATGGATATGACACAATGCAAAATATAACGGGTAAGGAATACTACTAAAAACGAGAAAACAAATATTGGGAAATCAACAAGGAAAAAAATCTTTTAAAAAGAATCATTAATGTATCTGAAACATTCCATTGTCCCCTTTATGTTTTCCTTATTTATCTCTTTGTCAGCCCACTTTATTTACTAGTTACCTCAACCAATACCAGTACTAAACTCCATATAAATTTTTAAAAAATTCTTTGTATTTATTTTTAAAAAAATTATTATTAATATTACTCAAGAAATGAATAAATTAAATAATTGTTTTCAGTTATAAAGACAATAACAGATTGTTATACGAATTGTGCCAGGGTGTTAGTAGGTGTTTTTTTTGGGTTGGGGGGTGTGTTATTTGTAGGAGATGGGGAGAGTGGGTTGGAAAATTGTAGAGTGTGGGGGTGTTGATGGGAGGTTTGTGGGGAATGGGGGGGGAAAGGGGTGGTGTTGTGGGGGTTTGTGGTTGTTTTGGTTGGGGGGTGACTTTATGACTGTTTCTTGGTTGGCTTTGATTATACTGCAAGTGGGGCATGGGATGGGGTGACTAGTGGAAGTTTTGTTGTTTTGTCTTAGTGGGTGGGGGCTTTATGGGGTTTTGATGTTGGAGGGCTCTGTGGGTTGTATTGGGTAATGGTGCACATTTGTTTTGTGGGGTTGTGGAATGGGTGGGGGGTGGCAGGGTAGGGTAATTTTGGTGAGGGCATGTTGTCTGTGAGGGGGGTTTTTTATTGACTGGATGTTGGTAAAGAACGGGGTGAGGGTGGTGTTGTGAGAGTGTTAGTTTTGGGTTGGGTTTGTTGGGGTTTTGATCTATTGTTTGTTTTGTTGGGGAAGTCGGTGGTTCATTTTTTGATGGAACAATGTGTTGGTATGGGAGTTCTAGGGGTGATGGATTTGAGGTTGAATGGGTGAATGTGTAGGGTATGGGTATTGTGGGGTTTTGGTATATAGTAGGTGTCATTGTTGGGTCTAGGGGTTTGGGGGGTTGGGTTTGGTGGCGTCACTTGTGTTTGGTTGTAAGTTATGAGAAGACCTCTGGGGTACGTTAGTGGGTGTGGATGGTAATTGGGGTGGTGAGGTAATGGTGTGTGGCGTATTCATGGGGTATTGTGGTCGCATAGGATTAAGGTCACAAGCGGTGTGGATGAGTGTGGTTGGTTTGTAATGGAATGTGTGGGTTGGTGCTCGTTAGGTTTTTGGGGGTTGGGGGGTTGTCGGGGTGCGAGTTTGTGGTGGGGGTTTGCAACATTGGGGGGCGTGGGCGTGGGTGGTTTAATGATGGGGGTAGAGGTTTGTGGGGAGGGGGGTTAAAAGTTTTGGGTGTTTGGGGGGTTAAGGATTGAGTGAGGTTAAATGGGGTGAAGTGGACGGTATGAAGGGTGTTGACGACTAAAGTGATAACTAAAAGAGGAGTATCATTGTACTAGGGTCATAGTTTGTGGATTTGCAGAGGGTTGTAGGATGTGGGGGAATACTAGGTATGATGGGATTATATGAGGTGGATATTTAATTTGTAGAGTGTTGTATTGATGGTTGGTTATTTGTATGTATGGTATTAAAGTTAGGAGGTTTTAGAAGGTGATTGCCGAGTATAGATCTGATCAGTTTAGGTGGTGAATCCAAAGCAATCTGAAATATTAAGTAGCTAATCCCATTTTGACCCTTTATGCAGACATGAGATGTATTCAAAATTTGAATGATTTATGTTGCCATGGAGTCACAGAAATCAAATAACATATTTAGGAATTAACAGTTACTTTTTATAGCGTACAATTGTGGAATATAAATTCATTACTCCAACAATCCCCTAATTTTGCTATTTTGTGATTATGATATTGGGTAAACAAATAATTCATTTGGTTTTTTCAATTACCAACTGGTTTACTGTATGTGAAACCCTGCGAATCTCCAGGAATTAGGAAAATAAAAGTGTTAAACAGAAGTAACATTATATTTAAAAGATGAGTTTCGTAAGAGAAAATAAGAAAAAATAATTATATCAATAATCCTTGAGAAAACATTAATCAAAATGTTGATTAAATTTTTATGCCTGAAAAGCACCATTATCTTGTCTTCTAAATTTAATTCGTTTTTTAAATCCCTACCCTGTCTAAAAATGTAATTGCTTTAATCTATAGCAAAATGTTAATCCATTGTTAAAAGTAAAAATATTTTTGTTATTAGAAATCCAGTGATTTTATGAATGAATCAGTATGATGAGGATATGCTGAAAGAATGAACTATAAAAATAAATGATGTTTGATAATGTTAAACTTGTGTTTAAGGATTTTTTTTAGTTTGGAGTAGCTGTTAAGCTGTATTATGGGAATAAGTTTATAATTGAATTAAAATCATTATCTAAGATTTTAAGGGGAGAAAAAAAATTTAAATATAAAAGCAATAATGCAATCCTTATGAGATTATTTATTATTTACTGACAAACCATATGAAACACTTCAATAAATTGAATTAATAGTTAATTTACCTTCTCCTAAGCAAGGGTCCATAATTTACCTAAAATATTGATTCATAATAAGTTTTTGAATATATTTATGTTTTAACCGAGTGAAGGATCAAAGAGATATATTTGTTAATTATTAAAGACTACATAAATAAATAAATCGCATAAATAAGTCGCATTTACCACTCTTAAAGCTCATCTTATTAGTGTACAATATGATATTTAATAAAATATTCGAGTTACTAAAAATGAACGAGTGATCATTACAAATTAAAAGCAGATCGGTATTGAATCATAATCAATTTTTTTCTTAGATTATATTTATAATTAATTATGTTTTAGAAATATATACATACAATTATGTAAAAAAATAAAGTTTAATTGATGGAATATATGGGATTTATAAGCTACTTTATCCACTTAAATGTGATCACACTTTCTGCTTATCCTCTTGAGAACACAGGAAAAAAAGTCTTAAACAAGGTCTTAATCTTAATTTTTTTTCTTTTTTCATTTTTTATTTAAATTCAAAAATATGCAAGCTTCTAAACTAAGCAATAAAAACCTCCCATTTCCATAGTCTTTTACTGACACTGATCGGCTAGACAGTTGCCTGACGACCAGATGGCTTGTCCAATGTGATGGCGATGACTCAGCTGTTGGGATGGAGCGGCTCGGGAACGAGGTGGGGCGTCCTCGAGGACACGGGGGGCAGGACAGGGGAGGCGGGCCAGTGGTAAGGCGATGTGGGTGGTGGCACGCTGCGCGAGTGTGGTAGCGCAACTGGCCCCGACGCTGCTGTGTCTGGGTGCAGGAAGTTGCGCCTTTCCCTCTCCCTCACCGATGACTCTTGCTGGCATTGCTCCAAGCAGCGCGACAGCATCTCTGGCAGCAACTCGAACTAGTAACAAAAATATAATTGTCTTTTAGTGGAAAGTACTCTTCAAACAAAAATATTATCTTATTTTCATTTGATAACATACATTGTAATTGAAGACAATGTTAATAGAAAAAGAAAGACATAGCTAAAAATATTCTTTCAATTAAAGTAATAATACAGTAAGTATTATTGTACTTTTAGTGACATTGTCCAGTCAGATACATAATTCATTATACCCAGATTGTGATAAACTTAAAAATAAGGAAAGTACTCAATTTTTTAAATAATAAAAAAACACATTTGATCCTAAATCTTACTTTATGTTTTCTTTACACACAACCACAGGCAGATCTAAGGGGAAGGGAAAGTGGAACTTTCGAGCTAAACCTCCCCTGCCCCCCTCCAAAATGGTTAAATAATAACCATGTCTTATGAAAAATATTATCTCTAAAAGTAATATTGTTCATGTAATCACATTTAATAGGACTTCAAGAATCACTTAAACACCATTTCTTATCGATAGTTATGTTTTTCTTTTAAACAACAAAAATCACAGTCTTATTATCGTTCCATACTAATCATTTTATGATGTATTATCTATTTACAAATAGTCGGCACCAAGCTGAAGTAACAAATGTGCAATGTTGGACAGGTTAACATTTGTTTCTTTAACACGGTGCCGACGATATCTTAGTTTATAAAATAAAAATAAAATCATTTGGGCTAATTTTTATTTATTTAACTATTAAATTATTTTATCGCAAATGATTTCATTTAGTATAAAGTAAGATATGTAAGTAGATATTAGATTATAAAATAATTAATGTGGAATTATAATAACGCTGTTTGTTATAAAGATGTTTATTTTTTAAAAGGTTTGTTTCCTTGAAAATGGCTAAAACGTTGGGTATAAATAAATACATAAAATAGAACTAAGGATTAAATATGTTTGTTTATTATTAGAAATAGAATTCATGTCCTTACCAACAATATTTTAACATAAAACAGCAATGATCTTTGTCACCTAGTTTGACTATTATTTTTTCTATTTATTTGTTTTTCTCTTCTCCTCAGGTTGTGCTTTTTCGTTTGGGTATATATGTTTATATTTTATACTTTTTGTCTCTCTGTGTACCAATATGAGCATGTACGTATACATAGTTCCTTTTTTTTTCCATTATACCACAAGTAATCCAGAGATTTTATTTTATCTTAGTGTTTGCATATTATTATAATAATCCCTATAATTTTGTATTAACTTATTTTTCTATTAGATAGCCTATTGTTTATAAACTGTGTAGTTATGTATATATAAATATGTAATTTCTTTCCTTTTCTTTTTTTTTTTTTCATCACAATAATAAGTAATTTTGAGAAGATTTTATGTTCATTTATATATATATATATATATATATATATATATATATATATATATATTGTTTGTTTTAGTGGTTACATACTACTTTTTAAATAATGTATATAATGTTAGAATTTTTATAAGTTAATTTTTGGCCCGATTTGTATTTTATTATGTATTAATTCATCATTGTTATTCTTAGAGGACTTAGTCCCAAAATAAAGTTCAATTTTCTATTCTATTCTAATCTATTAAAGAATTTTTACGGGTGTAATAATCTAGCAATTTATCATCATAAAATCCCTACCCTATCTATCCTATAGTTGATTTTATAATTGTATCTTTTTATTTGACAAGAGAAATGAGTTATACAATCAAAAGTATATTATAATATAGTATAATTATAGATATTGTACATACAAATTTCAATGTTATTTAAAATTTAGATGAAATATAATATAAAGTTTTACTGAATTGTTCTTAAGATGAATAAATGAATGAATGAAAAAATAATTTTATTCTAGGACTATAGTGCCCTAATAATAATAACAGATTTACATAATTATGATTATTGGTCTGGCTTAGAAGAATACAAAATGATGCCTAATTAACAGTTAATTGCAATTGCAATTGTGCAGTTGAATGAATTATACAGTGTACAAAAGCAAGTAAATTTTACGGAAGTTTGAATATATAGAGTAGGTGGTGAAACAGGAACTGTTTGAAAGAATTTGTGAACGAGCATTGGCGTATGGAGGCAGGTAAAGAGTTCCAAAAGGAGGTAGCACGAATGACAAAGGATTTGCTGAAGGAAGTAGTTTTATGGGAAGATTATCCATATAAATATCTAGGTTGAGATGTGGTATAGAGGAATATAGAGCAAGGAGTTCTGGGATGTAGGGAGTGTTTTTGCTTCTGAGCACTTAGAAAAGGAAAATATAAAGAAAAAATTGCTGTCAGGAAGTAGTATAAAGAAACTTCAGCTTGGTGAACCAGAAGGAAACCTGGGAATCCTTAATCTTATAAGGCAGTTCATGAGTCTCTTAAGTCTCATTTTCAGCCTGGTAGACATAGTCAAAGTGAGAGAATACAAGGGAGGTAACAAGGAGTTGACTGGTTTTTAGAGGAATACAATCATGGAATCTTATTAATTAAAGGTGGTGATGATATCCCAAAACCTTAACGTATTAATATGTTGCGTCATGGCTTGGGAAATGTATTATACCAAAATATGTCCAAACTAATCACAAGCCAGAATTCCTTTCAATTATAGTATTATGGAAATATATCATTATATTATTTTATGCAAATATTTCTGTGTGCAAAGGTAACAGATATAATAACTTAACTGATACATACAAGTTTAGAAGATAAAAGAAATATTAAAATTAACTATGATATAATGTATATAATAGATGAATACCTGCTCTTGAATACTGTTTATTTTATCTTCTAGACCTATAAGTCTTTCTTCTAAGGAATCATATCTTGTGCTCATATCCGACACTATTTCATAAACAGTGTTTTGTGTCTGAAAAATAAATTGACTTATTAATTTTAAAAATACACAAAACTTTTATGATGAACATCAGCAAGAAAATTAATTTCAGAAAGCAATTGGAAATAACCAACCAATCTGATAGATATAAAATTTAATGTTTATTAAAAAAAAATTAAATTAATTGTAGTAAGGTTAGGCTGTGGTGGATCCACAGAATGGAAAAAAGAAATAAATTTACCTCACTAAAATAACTGTTGAGGAAAAAAAATATGGCTGCTTAAAATATAGCTAAAAGTATCAGTACTCGTGAATGACTGTGAATAAATTATAATTCATTAGGTGAGGGAAAATTAAAAACTTGTCTCACCTAGTGAAATATTGGTCATTGTAAATGATTCAATAATATTAATTAATTACCTTATCTATACCTAAAACAACCAATTTTAAATAGTTTGAGATATCAAAGATATCGATTAAAGATCAAAGATATCGATATTAAAGATATCGATTAAATAGTTTGAGATATCAAAGATATCGATTTACTACAATTTCTCTCAAAGATGAGGTAATATTTCTATGCTAAAAATAAAAATTATCTTTGGATCTGCCGCCAAGTTCATGACAACATGCAAACATTATTTGTTTTTTTGAATATTTAATAGTTGACCGTTGCATTATAAAGGAAGGAGATGGTCCGGGGTCATAAAAAGGCTAAAAATAGTGGCAAAACTATTTTATTAAAAGTCAACGTTCTGACCTGACTTTGCAGGCCTTCCTCAGGGAGGTGTGTTGAGCTAGGAGTTAGAACTGTAGTTCTAAGTGAAACTCCTCCCTGAAGAAAACTTGCAAAGTCAGGTCGAAAAGTTGGCTTTTAATAAAATAGTTTTGCCACTATTTAGCCTATTTATGACCGCCACCCCGGACCATCTCTCTCTATTATTTGTTTTTATTACATTCAATGTATACGGAAACTTCAAGTTTTGTACTGATGATATAACATGGATAATTTTATTAGTTTATTAAGTTAGAAACAAGAAAAGAAAAAAAAAATGTTTGACTTAATATCTCAAAGAAAAAAAAATTACCTTAGCCATATCTGTGATCGTATTGGCGTTGTCCATCAGTTTTCGCTGATCCATTTTCACTTTTCTTAAACTGAAAATAACACATGAATTTTATAATTAACAAGTACAAGAAGCTTATACAATTTTTTCTAATTATTTCAGAGAAGAACTTAGTCATCATAGCTCAAAATTAATACTAACAATTTATCTATTGTTAAAATATCTTTTAAATGTAAAATTTATTTAGAATTAAAACCTGATGCTGCAAATTAAAAAAAAAAAATCATTATATACAGACTCTACTTACGCATATATCGCCAAGAGGAACTTTCGTTGATGCGTTCGGACTCTACCAGCATTGACTCTTTTTACCAAACGTGTGTGCTTATAAATTAACCAAGTTTCACGGAGTACGTTTGCAGCAGCATTTTTTAACTGAGGAACAAATTGTGACATGAATGTTTATTGATATAAAAAAAGGTTAATCAATAACAAGTAATACAAAATAAGGAAATATAGGATAAATAATATATATATGTTGTAAATTAAAAAAAACAAAACAATAAACAGTTATGATAAAAATATATGTATACCCTTTTGGTTAGCTGAGTATCCATCATAAAATTATGTACATGTTTTTCTGCTCTTGTTAGTTCCATTTTTCTAGATACTACTGCAACGAGGAGTGCTGTACAACCCGCCCCCTTTAAAAATATATGAGTGTAAGATTTATATCAGTAAAAATAACAATAATTTTAAATCACATTTTTTCTAGTAGTGTCAACAAATTAATTTCATCTGTTCTGAAAGTCACTTGGCCACACATTTCATCTTGATATAATGCTTAAAAAAATATTTTCAGAAAAATATAAATAAATCCATAATTTGTAATATATTATACCGTATATAGTATACAAATCTGACTGCTATAAATATAATAAATATATAAAAGTAAAAACAATTATAAAGTAATAAAAATTATATAATAGAAGATAATAATAATAGTGGAATGATGGTTGACTATAGTGAATAATTGAAGAGAAGGATGGTTGGAGTGATCAGTCAAAATAAAAATAGTAAAAATAAATAATTATATTTATATTTATATAAAAATTTGGTTTAATATAAAAATAAATATAATTATTTATTTTGACTGATCACTCCAACCATCGTTCTCTTCAATAATAATATAATATATTGTATATATGTATACTAGAACTAACACTTTTATTAATTTTAAATATAATTTATAGATACAAAAGGAAACATAATAAATAGGAAAAGCTTATTATTTTTTTTTTTTTGAGAAGATGATTATGTCATGATCAGAAAATATAACATCTTAATATTGATTATGTAGCCCTTTTGTAATATTTTGTTAACTTCTTAATTTATCAAATTCGTGGCAATGAGAATACTTTGTATAAATAGAAAACTGAAAAATTATTATAAGATATTTCTCTATTTCTGCTGGTCCTAGGATATCATAATGCCCGATGAAAATCAGTTTGTCTTCTGAGATATGCTATAGTATGAAATTTTGGTTTTCGCTTGTATTGTGTTATCATTTGTAAATTCAATTGGTTTCAGAGTACAAGTGGACAGAGTAAATGGAGAGCTTGAGAGAGAAGTATGGCTCTATATATTGAACAAGATAAAACCCACAATATAATTTCTTGAACAGAGACTTGATAAGTATATTAAAAATATAATGGTGGGGATATTTTTGACAACAGAATGAATCGCAGAAGTTGGTTCATCTGGTCTAATTAAAACAAGATAACATAACCTATATTCCTATTATTCTTACTATTTTCTCATTGGCTTTTTTTTTTCGTTTTTAGATAGACATAAAGCTTATCTCGAAACATTGGCAAACAATAAAATAAATTTTCTAATTTGTGTTTTATTTCATTAATGACTAGAACACCCTATCAACTTCTTTCTATTAAAAATTTGGTGGCACAAACAACCTTATGGTACCAAATGCCTGTAGGCAGAGAAATGGGGGTAGGATCTGCTTTGTAATCAACTCTTATTTCCACAGAAATGAAAACTTACTAAAATAATATAATTTTGAAAATTCTGAACCTAATCTGACAAACTTGGAAGATTATAGACAGTAATGTGTTTTCAATAGTTTAAAATGTTAGTGGTTTAAATTTTAAACTAATCCTACAAATAAACAATATAACCTACTTATATATATATATATATATATTGTGCACTTATATGAGAAAATAGGTTATTAATAAAATACATTCATAGATTAATTGAAGAATTAAAAAAAAAATAAAATAAAAAAAGTCAAATATTGAGATGAAAACAAAATTTTTGACTATGAAATAAATTATAAATCTGAAATATGTATTTTGAAAAAATGTGTGTAAAGCATATTTTTCTGTTGTTTTTTTAAATATAATACCATACATACCATACAAATATATATAAATATAAATAATCTGTTTAGTATTGTGTATGCAGTGACTGATGGCCTAAAAAAGAAAAATACAGAATGAGATTAATGAGGGAGATATCAAATTTAGGTGCACAAAACTTTTTTTGAACATACGCAATATTGTAGCAGACAAGAAATAAAACAACTTCATTAAAATAATGATTCACTAATTAAGTTAGAAGAGATAACACATGTATATTAATAAAATTTGGAAAATAGTCATAAGAAACAAAAAAAATACTAAACACAGCTTTATAAAATAAATTTATTAATAGTTAAAAATATCCTTGAGGAGTGTCCTGCATTTCCTTCATCTGAAAGAGAATGAAAAATGATATTAAAAATATTCTCCAAGATAATGAAAACACAATGTTGATGCCTCCAACTACCAGTACCCAGTGATGTGCTTTTCATCTCAACCTTTACTTTTCAAGATAAAATTTATTTTTATCTTATTGGTAATTTTTAATTATTAAAAAAATTGAAACAAAGGCTCTTATTAATTATAACATCAACAAATATGATGAAAGCACAAGCTAAAATACTTAATATTTCTATAATTTAATCGTCATTGCCACACAATTAAAAAAATTTACCTGTTTCATTAAAACTATTTGGCCAAAACATGTTTAATAGGAAACTGCCTTTACTATTTATTAATTCCAATTTATAAGGAAAATAATAAAACAACAATATGATTTAAAAGTATATTAATATTTTATAATAATGGTATATTAATATATATGTACAGAAAAAAAAAAAGAAAAAAGAAAACTAAAGCTGTTATAACCAGTGATCTTAAATAGCTCAGCACATTTATTTTCAAATAATTCTAAGTTATATTTTTTTCTCAAGGAACTTCTTTGAAACAGTTTATATGAAGAGCTATTTGTTAGACCTTATATCACAAAGCTCTTACAAGAACATTTACAGTAAACGTTCTTTGGATAACTTTATCAAAAAAACGTTTATAATAAAAGTTCTTCCAAGAACTTTTTGGTAAGGAGTTACATAGTTAAGGACTTTACTTATATAGTTATAAGTTTTCAGAAGAAATTTACAGAGATTCTTAAAAAAATACCTCATATTTTACCCAACTACGGCAAAACAATTTGAACATAAAACACTGGCAAGTAATTGGGAAAAAAAAAAAGGATTTAATCGATCAACTATAAAGTATATAATAATTATTTGAGGGAATGCCTGAACTGATTTCTAAGCTTTATGGCTCAAATTATTATAGTTCGCTCTTAAATGAGTGAAATATTTATAAAATATCTGTTTGAGATTTTGTTTTTTGCAGTTCTTGCAGCATCAATCCATCAACTCTTCATGATTTTCATTCAATTTTTTTTTTTTTTTTGTGCTAAACCTATCTAAACTTTTAGAGGAATAACTTCAATCTGACCTATTTCACTTTTTGCAACCAAATAACCTTCTGAATCCCTTCCATCTGGTTTTTGACCTGACTATTCCATTCAGTTTGTCCTAATCAAAATTTTGCATGAATTCCACACAGCCATGAACCAGCAGAAAGTTCCTACCCTTATTTCCTCATTCACCTTGACTTCTCCAAAGCCTTTGATTCCGTTGACCCCAACATTATCCTTCCCAAACTTCACACTCAATCCTTGTCACCTGGTGTTCTTCAACGGTTCCAATCCTTACTCACTGGTCATTCTCAGTACTTTGATGTCTCCAATGAAACCTCCTTTAGTTCTCTCCCTTTATCCAGAGATGTACCACAAGATTCTTACTTTTCCTCTACCCATTTTTCCATCTCCATCTTTAATATTCCCGATATAATTTACATGCTGATGACATTCAAGTTTATTTCTCCTTTGACCCTGCTGACTTTTCTAATGCCATCATGAAAATCTAGGAATATATCTATAAAATAAGTGCTTGGGCAACGTTTTATAAACTTACTCTTGATATCAAGAAGATAATAGCAGTCATGTTAGATCTTCCACTCTTAAAGGTTATCTAAAGATTCTTTTGATAAATGTTTTTGTAAAATAGTTAAACTGAAACTTTAACTGTCCTGATTATTATCAGGGGTTTCAATGAAAAGTTAACTTTTATTTTTAATCATTAACAATATGACCGGAATATTTATTTTCAATTATTTCAAATTAATTACAAAAGACTCATGTACATGACAATAATGAGACCTATTTGGACTTACGAAGTGAAGTTATAGGGCTCCACTAAACCATCAAATTCCTCTCGTATCCAATCCCTACAATCCAAAATCCTTAATGCTTCTTACTTTGTCACAAATGAAATAATCCATAAAGACCTTAATGTTCTATATGTTTCAGATTTGATTCAATCCAAATACCTATCCTTCCATAATAAACTTTATAACTATTCGAATCCTCTGGTTTCTAATCTTACTTTCTCTTCGATTCCTGATAATCCTCCGAGGTGTCTGAAAAGAAGATGGTTGCGTGATCTTTTGTAGACATGTTATTAGAGTGCTACCAGTGGGTAGTTTCTCAACAAGCCTTTTCATGTGATTATATTTCTGTGTACACATTTGCTTGATGTATTTATATTAATACAGTTGTAAATATCATAAATAAAATTTTTAAAAAAAATTATTTCAAAACTATAACTATTATTTATAAGTTATGTTACAGTAATTTATTTCCATAAAAAGTAAATTTAAAAAACGATGATTGTGTTGTAAATTCTCAATTACTCAAACATAGATAATATGACAATCAGGAAATTCATTTAAGATAAATTATATCTTGTAATTTACGCTCAATTACTGTTTATTTATCAATAAATATAATTTTTCCTTTTCAATATGCAAAATATTTTATTAGAAAAAAGTTTATTTTTTGAAATTTTCAAGTCCTGGTGAAGAAATTATCAGCTACTATTGATAAAAGTAGTTAAATTGCAATTTTGGAAACTTCTAACTAGGAAGTGCTAGATTAATATTTTAAATGTAGCTAATTATAAAAAATAAAATAAAGAAACCTTCCACATCAGCAGACAAAATAACAGTTTAAGATTGGCACAGATGTGCTAGATCATTACATGTTATTGAATCACATCTTCCTTTACTATGTCACGTACTGTTGGGTCTAATGTATAAACATCTGACGTAACCAATAAACATGAATATTAACCATATCTTATATTCATTGTCATGACTACTGAGTCCCTAACTGAAACCAAAAGTTTAATAAGGAACCAACAAAGTTTTGCAATTATACAGAATAAGGCAATGATTTAAATAATTTTGGATATAGATTATAAAATAATTTCATAAAAATGTCAGTTGGTTCTTTATTGAATATTTGGGTTCAATTAAACATACTCATTTGATTAGCTATACTACTAATAGCATTGAGTTAGATAAATTTTACAGTTGGAAAAAAAAAAACTAATTTAGACATGAAGTCATCACAATCTCATATTAGAATTGCTAATAATATGCCATGAAATGAAGTTTAGCTGTATAAATCTGGTTTAACATTTAGTATATATTTATTTTATTTTAGTTAAAAATTTATATAATTACTAATTAGTAATTTTTACAGTATTATACTCATGCACATTCATAAGAAATGAATAAAAGTAAATACCTTTTTAATAACGGTACCAAATTAGCTCCTCTCAATTCATCCCAGTTATTCCTAATACTCTTGTAGGAAATATTTTAAAGAGAATTATAATTAATTTTCAAGTTCAGTAACTCAAAATATTTATTGGCTATAACATGTTCAAATTGTGCCAAATTATTCGAACAGTCAAGAACTGAGAAAGTACAGAACCATTAATGAAAACACTGAGAAATTTCAGTCTTTATATCAATAAAATTATCTAATAATTTTACAAACCTTAGCTACAAATGATAAAATACTAGTGCTGAAAAGTGAAAAATGTGTTATTAATATGGATTTTCCCATTTATAACATAATATGGAAAAAAATATGTTTGTTATAGTTAGACCAAGCAACTGTAATATTCCATGGGAAAGTCACTTTTAGGGTAATGAAAATTATATCCTTTACAAATATTGTCTAAACTGACTAAACTAAAAAAATTGAACTATTATAATATAAAGTAATAATACGTTAAAACTATAATTGAATTTTTATTTATTTAATTTTTATTGGTGATAAATTACTAATAAATAAATATTTCAAGATACCATCTGGGTTTGGTGAAAAAAGGTCTTGATCGACCTACCTTACTTGGACTTGTGCCTTAAAGGTATTTCTTAATATTAGATTCATAAAATTTTTAAATTTTTTGAAAAGATAGAATTTTCACTTACAATATCAGTATGCAAAGTTGAATTAAAAAAAAAAAAATAATATGTAGGTATATTGTTTCTAGAAAAATATGCTTTACAAAAATACAATAATTGTATTCTGAACAGTAAAATGAGTTATGTACAATATTGTAGTTAGCAGAAGAAAAGCGGCGTTGATAGATCTTACCATGATGCCAGTGCTAACAGCGATTCCCCTCCCGCAGTAAGTGTTAGGGACGATATCCCCAAACCCCACGCTGAGGAAGGTAATTGCAATAAGCCACATCGAGTTGAGGAGGTTGGCATGGTCTTCGTCGTGAAACCTATAGTCAATAAAATGAGTTCACGCATACCCCCTCCTGCCTTTAACTGTCTTAAACCTTGCCTTATTAATCTTAACATAACAATAACTTCTCTCATTCTATGAAAATTAAAATGGATTAAAATATTTCTTATTTTCAGGCATACATATTGGTATAAATACATGCCTGCATTATTAATATTATAATAATAAAGGACTTCTGTCATCTTAAAAATACTTAAAAAGTTATAAGATAACATTAGTGTTTAATTTAAAATCGTTTTACAGTTTTTATTTCCTTATAGCTGTTGTGAATATAAATATTTAAAATATCTGTATTTCTTATCTAAATAAAATTATCACACAAAAGGTAGAATACCATTTACTCATTGAGTTTTATGTAAGAACTAAAACAAATTCTTATTTAGCATTGAAAATTGATACTCTGATTTGTGATAGGCAAGAAATAATAATTTATTGTTCATCCTTTGTTTAAAAGCATTTAGCATTGTTTATACAATAATATGTTAATAATGGATGGCTCATATAAGATATATATGTATAAATATCATTCCCTAAAGCAGGGCCTGAACTAGGAGGGGGAAATCTTAATTCTTTTACCCCTTTCCCTTTCAGGCAAAAAACTCAAATGTTATAAAAATATTTTAAGAATATATTTCAAAATAAATATCTTAATTTCATAATATTAACTCATTTTATTGACTAGATTAATAAAAAATGATTAAAAAATCAGAAGAAAATATTTTTTATTTAAGCTAAAAATAAAATATCATTCAAAATTTGATGCTCAGGGCAAGTTCCTCCTAATTCTAGACCCTGTCCTAAAGTTGAAAGTATTGGCTTCCCAATTAAAATTGTTTTATAGACAAGTCATAATTTACCATGGTAAAATATTTTAAAACTAATTACTTATCTACCCATTCTCAATTTTCAGATTTCAATCTCAGCAACAAATATGAAACTATTAACATCAATCATCTTAGGTAAAATAACATGCCGTTATTATTGGATATTTTAGTGGTCGAGATCAGGCTTAGTTTCAAAGTAAACCTAACCTATCCAAGGCTTAAGTCTCAGATTAAACTAGATCTGTGGCAAGATTTGATTTTTCAAAAGTTGATAAAATTATTCTCTTCAAACTAAAAAATCTTTTCCTATACAATATCTTTTTATTGTTTCTTGTTTTACTTTTTACAAACAGTCATTTTTCCTTAGAAACCTCTATCATCATATTTTCTCTCAAAAAGTGTTCCTCGGGATCCTCTATCTCACAAAACTTTATTTTTCATCTAGGAAAATGACCTATAAAACTTTATTTGTCACTCCCAGTATCATTTGTATGTAGAAAACGTACATATTTTCATTTATTTGACATACTTGAGGAATTTTGTAAGATCTAGGTGACATGGATAATATTAATTGCTCGGAAAGTTGTGCCCGGATCCAGCAGAAAGTAAGGCAATTATCATTGATTCAAGACCCTTTCTTAGGGTACTTTCCTCATATCCATTACCATGACTCAACAACATTCTTATTTAACAACAAAATCTTGGAATTATATTCTATCAATATTTAACTTGGAATAATCGTATTCATAGAATTTCCAAAAATCCAACTTAATCTTTAAACAACTTATAAGAACCTGTGATACATTTCTCTGAAGTAACCATAATCATTTTGCATTCTCTCTCATTCTTCCTCACTTGGACTACAAATAGCTGTTGAGGAAAATTACTATATTATTTCTTATTTATTAATTATATGAATGTGATAAATATTTTATTGTTGTAAATAATTTGTAAGGTATAAATAAATATAATAATAATGGTAATAGCACTGGTTCATAAAAGCCCTCGCATCTATCGCTGATGTTCCAAGCAACTTTGATTTTATTCTGGTTTTCTAAGACAATACCTCCTTCATGCCTTCTTCTTCCAATGTTTGAGAACAAAGAAACTTTCTCAGATTCTTGATATCTTCATCTTGCATTCTTCCTAAGGACAATGTGTTAAAACATTCTACTATTTGAGAGAAAGACTCTGCAGGAATTATATTTGGTCCCGTCATAATTAAAAGAAGATGAAGGTAGCACCAAGAGATTTATGATCTCCATGGTGTGATCATACTTAGTAACAACTGTAAAGCGAGCCAGATTAAGGTGAGTAGGGTAGGTCAGCCGTGGAGTCCAAAAATGGATAGTTGCTTATTGAGGCCTAGACACGGTAATGTATTGTAGAACCGTGGGAAGTAAGTAAACAAACTTTTCAGTAGCAAAGATTGCTGAAGTAACAGTTTATTTATTAATTATTCATTATAAAAATTACATATTATAATACCATTTAAACAATTTATTGAACTCTTCTGGCTAAATTTAATTATTATAATTTAAAATTCATCCTCTGAAATTTATTTTAAACAACATTATTATTGGCATTCCTTCAAGCAAGCTTGATCAAATGGAGATAGATTAAACAATTCATCTATTTCTAATGTAATTAGTTTCTCTAGTTGAATAGAAGAGTCACAAAAAGGACAATATTCAATTTGTGGGAGGTCCAATCAATGATTTGAAAAACATTAATAATGACATGAGGTAATATTGTTTTATTAGATCATCTTCTGTGTCCCAAGAGCTATGTAGAATTAAAGTAGTCTTATTCTATCTTTTGAACATAATATTTCCTTTGTTGATTTTTTCCAAAGTCTTTAGAACCAAAAATCCTCTCAACATCCTCAACTAGTATTCTTTTATCTACTCTTCGAATAAAATTCTATCTACGAGCTTGTACAATCACTTATATAACACTATTACAGATGATATTCATGCAACCTTCCTCCAAAATTATTTCTATTTATAAATCTTCCTCTAATGTTTTATTCAAACATTGCTTTTTTTTTTTTTTCACCTACATAATTATCTTTCTACCACATCTATCTAAACACTGTTTATGTATTTCAACAATTAATTCTTGCTTATTACTACAACAGTCATATATTTTTTATCTACGATCGATTAGTGCCAATTTATAAATGCAGCTAGACAAATATACATCTATTCTGTGCAGTAGCATTTTTTTTTTTTTTTATAATTCTTTTTTATTTACTTTTTTAATATTAAAAACAAATAAAAATAATGGTTATCTAACAATTTTTTATTCCCAATCCATCACTAAAAATAAATAATACAGTTCCTTTATTAAAATCTTTAGAAAACAAAGTTTAAATATTGTCTACTACCAACTAAATTAACTTTCACAATTCACATAATATATTATGACAAATAAATATTAACAATTAATATATACAATATAATGAATGATATATACAATTTTTCACAATTAAAGAAAAATAAGAAATATTTTAATATGCTTGTGACAAACAAACTTTGAACGATTGTTATGAAAAAAAAAAAAAAATAAAAAAAAATAAAGCAAGGTTTATGGGCGCTATGTCGTTAGTGCAATTTTCGAAGACCATTCGTGGTTATAAATGACTGCAGTGACTCTTTTTTTTTTGTTTTTTTATAAATTAAGATTTGAATAGAATGAATTTTACCTAGGCTTGTTTTCATCTCAATTTTTTCAGGATATATTTAAGTGGCTGAATATTTAGGACGAAACTTACCATGATGCCACACGTGAGGGTTATACCTCGGCCGCAGTATGTGTTAGGAACAATGTCCCCATAGCCGACGCTAAGGAGTGTTATTGCTATGAGCCACATAGAGTTAAGATAGTTTGCATGATCTTCGTCGTGAAACCTGTCAAGAACACATTGCTTTACATACTCCCAAAATAAAGGACAAAAATAAACAAACACCCAACGTTCCTCATCAAAATTGTATTCAGTTGGAATATTCATTGTGATGTGAATCAACTACTTATTATGAACTAGTTAATAGTGAATGAACTAACCAAAACTAAAATATATAAGAATATAAATTGATTTTTATTGGTAAATACAATTATTTTTGGGACCAATCTTTTTTTTTTTTTTTTTTTTCGTGAATCCTATAATACAGTAAAACCTCAACTGATCATAGTTAATTATCCAATTTTTTCAATAGACTGATAGTTTGATATGCTTTATTATATTTTAGCCCTCATCAAGGTGTTTTGTTTGTTCGTTGAGAGAGTATAAATGATAATTATTTTGCTTTTGAATAAAAAAAAAAAAAAAAATGGATTTATAAACTATGAATCTGTTTAGAGGAGGGTTTTACTGTATTATAGGATTCACGATAAAAAAAAAAAAAAAAAAAAAAATCTAAATATTAAATTTTAAAAAAAAATAATAAAATATTTTTCTATTTATTAATAAAAAATAATTTATAAAAATAATAAAAAAAATATAAACAAAAAAAATAAATAAAATAAAATAATTAATTATATAAATAAGAAAATAAAAATAATTTATTTTTATAATATATATAAAATTATTAATTAAATTATTAATTATATTATTTCATATTATTTATTTTTTTTTTTTTTTATTAATTTTATTTTTTTTTTTTTTCTTATTTTATATTATTTTTCTTTTTTTATTATTTTTTTTTTTTTTTTTTTTTTTTTTTTTTTTTTTTTTTTTTTTTTCTTTTTTTTCTTTTTCTTTTTTTTTTTTTTTTTTTTTTTTTTGTTGGGACGGGAATTTTTTGTTTGGGTGGGTAATTCGTTCTTTCTGATTGGTGTGGACAGGTGTGTGGGGCGTGGGGGGGGGGGGTGCGCATGGATAGTAGTGGGTTCGACTGGATGTTTGGTTGGATGGGGTGTTTTGGATTGGGGCTGGTTGGGGTGGATTTATAGTGGTTTTGTGGAATTTCCCATTAGGGTTGTATGTGTGCGGGGTGGTGGGTTAGTGCGGTTGGGGGAAAGTGGGGGGGGGGGGTGTGTGTTTAGGGGGGGACTTTAGTGTGGCGGTGGTGAGTGCTGGTTGGGTGTTGAATGCATTGTGGTCGGGGTACAATGGGGTATGATCAGCTAGTACAAGTTGTTGTGCTGTTTATTGTAGTGGTTTTTATTTGTGATGGGATTTATTTCGTGGAGGTTAGAGTATGTGAGGAGCAGAAGCAAAATTTAATGGATTATAGAAGGAGCGTAAGGATATCAAAAGGTTGCGGGGAACGTCCGTAGGCCTAGACCCAGGCCTGGGGGGGTATGGTATGGGAGGGAAGTTTTTTATAATCGTAGGGGAGGAAGTCGCTCTAGTTTTGAATGTAGGGTCGGTGTGGTGGAGTGGGTAGCATACAACAAGTCCGTTCCATCGCGGGAGGTAAGTGTAGGGGGGGGTGGTGGTCTGGTGAGTGTGCGTGAAAAAAGTGGGGTGTGCTGGGTCGGGACGGCTAGTGTGGTGATGGCGGGGTGTGAATAACAAGATCGGGGGGGGGCTTGGGCAAAGATGGGGTTGGGGGAGGAAATTAAAAGTTTGTGCGATGACAATGCAAACCAAATGAGAAGGTAGCGCGAGTTCGGAGGGAGACAGAGGGAGGTTTGTGTGACGGTTTTTTTTTTTTATATTTTTTTTTTTTAATTGGGTTATATTATTGTTATATGTTGTGGTTGATATGTTTTATTTTTTGCCATAGGGTTTAGTATGTTTTTCTTTATTACTATAAATAGTTATTTTGATTATAATAAACCTAAAAATAATTATATATTTATATAGATGTCACTAGCAGTCATGTATAACCTTCGTTGGGGCGGTGCAGTTTTGGGTAACAAAATCACCTCATTTATATTGGCCTTAAGTATAGGTTAGTAAAATGAAAAAGTAGAGATAACAAATTGTTGCATGTGTCGTTAGGTGGCGGGAAAAAATGTGTGTGGGGGTTTGCGTGGAGCTGGGAAATGTGGTTGTGTGTTCGATGTTTAAGAGGATGGGTCTGGGGGGGGTGAAGGTGGGGGGGGGGGAGGAGGGGCTGGGGGGGATTGCTCTATAGAGGGGGAGGAGATTGGGGGGAGAGGTGAACTTTGGGGGCGGGGAGGGGAGGGGATATTGAGTGATGCTGGTTTTGTGGGAGGGTGGGGGAGGGTTGGTGGGGTTGTGAGTTTGGTCGGTTTTGTTATTATTTCTCTCATTTTTTTCCTTTTTTTTATTGTTTTTTATTTTTTCTTTTTTATGGGGTGGGTGATGTGTTTGGTGCTATTGTGGGTTGTTTTTACTTTCTTTGGGGCATTTAGTACTTGTTGTTTTTGTGATTGTGATGGTGGAGAGGGTGTGGCTGGTATGGTGGGCGGTTGTGGGTGGGGGATGTGTTGTGTTGGGTGCCCTGGTGTTAAGGCGTGGGTCGGTTGTGTTTGGGGGTTTTGGGTGGGGATGTGTGTTGTGGGGGGTGGTTGGGAGGGGGTCTAGCTGGGGTTACCTTTGTTTTCTAAAACGATTTTTTTTTTAATTTATAGGAATACTGTGATTATTTATTTTTTAGTGATTGGCAATTGGCAAGTGGGATAAATTAAAGATATTTAAAATATTGTTAGATAACCATTTTTTTTTATTTGTTTTTAATATTAAAATTAGTTAATTAAAAAAAAGAATTATATAAATATCAAATAAAATAAAATTGCTTCCTGCATGACTGAATAGATGTATATTTGTCTAGAGCTGATCTATATAAATTTGCCATCTATATTCGATCGTTATGTTATTAAAAATAATAATAGGACTGTTTGTATTAATAAGCATGATTTATTTTGAAATACATAACAGTGTTTAGTTAGATTGTCGGTTAGAAATTGAACAGATATTTATGTAGGTGAAAAAAAAAAAAAAGCCATGTTTGAATTAAAAACTTTAGGAGGGAAGATTTTATAAAGAGAATTTAATTTGGAGGAAGGTTGCCGATGAAGATATCATCTGTAATTAGTGTTTTATAAGTGATTGTAACAAAGATCGTATGATAGATTTTATTCGTAGAGTAGATGTTATGATATAAGAATACTTGTGTGGATGTTGATGAGGATTTTTGGTTCGTAGGAAATTTGGAGAAAAAATCAACAAACAGGATATATTATGTTCTTATTGTTGCGATGGTAAGATCTTAACTTTTATTATTACTTAGCTCTGGGGTCTCTGAAAATTGATTTATAATATATATAGGAAATATTCAATGGTCAGGATGAAGGTTTTTCAAATCATTGATTGGACTCCCATACATTTTGATCACTGTGCCTGGAGGCCACCCGGGGGTGCTTCTGCAACGGAGTTGATTAGTGTGTTTTCGTTGGACTTTGAGATTATATAGAAGGATAGTGTGCGTCCTTGCCGTGCCCGCCATGTTGGTGCAGATCCACGATTTGTTGGCTCTCCCTTGGCACACTTTTTGTTGGCTGTTTATCCTATTGACATATTTGAACTCGTGCGTTGTAGGAGTTCTTGCCCCGTCTGCCCATCTGTTCTTTTTTGCCGCGTGACAGTTCGTGGGATTTCTTCTGGGGGCGCTTCTCGGCTCCTGCGTGTGATGACGCGTCCCCTCCGGGACCCGCCCGCTGTTGGTTGTTGCCCCCCCTCCCAACTGCCCACCACCATCCTGCGCCCTTGCCATCCTTCGCATGCCTCCCCCCTCCCAGCTCCCTTCGCGCCCCATCATGCCTCGCCGCGCCCACCCCTCGCCCCCCCGCTCCCTCCCCCTATCCCATTTCCCGGCCGCACGCCCCATCCACGCGACCTCGATCTCCGAGACCCGGCCCGCCCAGTCGACATCGTTTGGTTTTCCTTGTCTCTGGCCCCCCCCGCTCCCCCGATGGGCCGTCACAGCCACACACCCGTCCTCATCACCCATGCCCCGGCGAGCCTCCACCCCTCAGCGACTCCCGACCTCCCACCCCCCCGCCTCCCTCACCGCCTACCCCCCGCACCTCCCCCGCCTACCCTCGCCCAGGGACCCCCCCCGACACTGCGCCAGCCCCGATCCGTCCCGCCACCACCACACCCACCCCCCGGCCGCCCCCCCCCGCAACCGACCCACCTTAGCAACACGCCCCGACCCCCCCCCCCCCACCACGCCAACACCCTCGCTTCCCGACCCTAGCCCCCACCACACACCCAGCCCCACCCCAGCCCCCTCCCGGGCCCACCCCCCCCCTCACCCCCCCACTCGACACCTTGCCTGCGCCCGCCCCGGCCAGAGTGGCCGACCCCCCCCCAATCCACCGTCCACGCTTCACCCTCACTCCAATCCGCCCCTCCGGCCACCCCCCTAACCCCTACCCTGTCCCCGATAATGATCCGCCCAACCACACCATCTCACATAGCCTGCCCCTCCCCAATTCGCACCCCTCCCCCCCCCCGACCCCCCCGGCCCAACGCGCCCCGCCCTCCCGCCCACCTCCCAGCGTGACCGCCCCCCGCCAACCGTACACTCTCCCCCCGCCTAATGCCCCCCGTCCACACCGGTGTGCCCGCCCCCCCCATCCTAGGCCGACGCGCCTAGACCCCTCCCCCCGACGCCCTCGGCGCGCCCACCCCCCCCCCCCGCCCCCCCACACCCCCCCCCCCCCCCCCCCCCCCCCCCCCCCAACCCCCCCCCCCCCACCCCCCCCCCCCCCCCCCCCCCCCACCCCCCCCCCCCCCCCCCCCACCCCCCACCCCCCCCCCCCCCCCCCCCCCCCCCCCCCCCCCCCCCCCCCCCCCCCACCCCCCCCCCCCCCCCCCCCCCCCACCCCCCCCCCCCACCCCCCACCCACCCCCCCCACCACCCCCACCCCACCCCCCCCCCCCCACCCCCCCCCCCCACAACCCCCGCACACCCCCCTCACCCCCCCCACCCCCCGCCCCCCCCTCCCCCCCCCCCCCCCCCCACACCCACGCCTCCCACCCCCCCACCCCCCCCCCCACCCCCCGCCCCACACCCCCCCTCCCCCCCCCCCCCCCCTCACCCCCCCCACCCCAACCCACCCCCCCAACCCCCCCACACCCCCCCCCCCCCACCCACCCCCCCCCCCACCCCACACCCCCCCGCCCCCCCCCCCCCCCCCCCGCACCCCCCCCCCCCCCCCCCCCCTCCCCCCCCCCCCCTGCCCCTCCCTCACCCACACCCGCGGCCCGCACCCCCCCCCCCCCCCCCCACACCCCCTCACCCCCCCCCCACCCCCCCGCCCCCCACCCCCCCCCCCGCGCCCTAGCCCCCCCACCCCCCTCCCCGGCCCCCCTCCCACCCCCCCACCCCCGCGCCCGCCCACGCCCCCCACCCCCCCTCCCGCCCCCCCCCCCCTCCCTCCACCATACCCCCCCCGCCCCCACGCCCCCCCCCCCTCCCGCCCCCCACCCCCCCCCCCCCCCCCCCCCCCCACCCCCCCCTACAACCCACCCCCCCCCCCCCCCCCCCCCCCCCCCCCCCCCCCCCCCCCCACGCCCCCACCCCCCCCACCACCTACACCCCCCCCACCCCCGCCCCCCCCCTCACCCCCCCTCCCCCCCCATCCCCCCCCCCACCCCCCCCCCCCCCCCCCCCCCCCCCCGCCCCCGACTCCCCCCCCCCCCCCCCCCTCCCCCCCCCCCGCCCCACCCCCATCCCCCCCCCCCCCCCCCCCCCCTCCCCCCCCCCCTCCCCCCCCCCCCCCCCACCCCCACCCTCCCCCCCCCACCCCCCGCCTCCCCCCCCCCCCCCCCCCCCCCCCCCCCCCCCCCACCCCCCCCCCCCCCACCTCCCCGCCCCCCCCCGCCCCACCCCCTCATCCCCCTCCCCACCCACCCTCCCCCCCCTCAATACTCCTAGTACAACGTAGCCCACCTCCCTGCCCCCATAGAAATTCCCCTCTGCCTAGCTCTTGATCCTCTCCGACCCACGTATCGCCCGTCCCCCACCCGCAGCCTCCCACCCCCCCCCCTCTCCCGTCCGTTCCCGCCCCCCCACAGGAACGCCCCTCCGCTAGGAGTCCCTAAGCACCACCCTTTACGCCACCCATCCCCAGTCCCCCACTCGCTCATCCATCGCTTCCTCTCCTTTCCCCACCCTCCGATCCCCATTCTCCACCTTCCCCCCCCTCTACCATTCTCCGCCCCCTCATCCCCCACTCCCCCCCTCCCCCCCTCCCCCCCCTCCATTCACCCCATCCCCCATTCCCCCACCCCCCCCTCTTCCCCCCCCCTCTCAGCCGACACCCGCGGCGCCCGGCAACCGCCCCCGCCCGCCCCAGCGAAACCCCCCACCGCCGGCCTCCCATGACCCCCAATACCCGCCCCCTCTCCCTCCATCCCCCACCAGCCGCCCCTCTCCCCCCTCCCCCGCCCCCCTAAGCCCCCCCCCGCCCCCCCCTCCCCCGAATGACCCCCCGCCTAGCCCTCCCCCCCGCCACCACGTGCCTCCCCCCTCTTCAAAGACTTCACCACTATGGACACCACTCGCACCCCCCGAATGTAAGCGTCTCTATGAGATTAACCAACGCTCCGCCGCACTCCGACCCCCTACATCGTTTTTTCCCTTCCCCCCGACCCCCCAATGTCCCCCCCTCCGAGTACAAAGGCCTTCCTTTCCTGTTCTCCACATAAACCCCCATTGCCGACCAAGGATCCTGCCCTTAGTTGATCTCTTGATGAAGCGACCCTCCCCCCCATGCACCCCCCCCCCCCATGTGGCCCACCACCACGGCCGCTCGCAGCCCCGCCACCGCCACGACTGTCCGTCACCCCCCCCTCCCTATTAGTACCTAACCCCCCCTAAGAATAAACATAGCAACGTAATATAAAATCAACCCCCAAGGTTCGCTGCGAACACAACCATCACCAGGAAACGATCTGCACAACTAGCGCCGAGCCTGATCCGCCCGACCCCCGCCCCCCCACGGGACCCCTCCCCTTCCCTTCCCATGACCCCCACCACAGCTCGCTATTTCCCATTACTCTTATTATATTTCATTTCCATCCTTAAAACTTAATTCTACTGACCAACATCTACAAATACTCGTATCCCCACACTATCATTCATAATTTCAATTCACACACCTAGAAATAACAACCTATTAGTCAATTTTCCCCTCAAGCTATTTGTCAGCTACAAGCGGTATGGGTAAGCACATTCCAGAATGAGAGAGACCCCATGCAAAATGATACTTTGGTATACCTCAGCAGAATTGTATAACTGGTTTTATTAAGCTTACCTCCCGTTATCTGTTTCCGTTATTTGATTAAGTCCCTCCGGCCCACGCCCCAATTTTTGGAAATTCTCCCCCCTCCCACCCCCCTATTGCCTACCATACGATCCTTAATGCCCGCTACTGTCTATAATATTGATAGTAGACCTCCTCATTCACATCAGAACCATTTGTTGTTCTAATCAAGATTCCCGCTTGTTGAGTCATGCGCTTTAATGGAATATGTGGATCCCAAGTACCCTAAAAAAGGACGTCTCCCGCCGTAAGCCTCTCCCTCGAGTCTCATTGCCCCAGTTAACTTCTGACGGGACCATCCTCCACCCCCAGGACATCTACCACCCCCCTTCCTTCGGAGGCAATTAATATCTTCACTTGTCAGCACCTTCGATATTACTCAAATATTCCTACTCACCAAGCTATACGTCAAATAAGAATTGAAAATTTGTAGTTTTCTCATAGACATAATGATCACTGGGAAAGTGACTACCCCATCTATTAAAGTTTTCCATAGAGTCATTTTCCCTAGATGAAATAAAGTTTTGTCTGAGAACTAGAGGATACCCGAGCGACCACACTGCCTTTTGCCAGCTGAGAAACTCTATGCGTATTAGAGGTTCTCTCCTAGGAAATTTGACTGCTTTGTAAAAAGTAAAACCAAGAAAACAATACCCAAAAGATATTGTATAGGAAAATCCCGATTTTTTAGTTTGCTATGAGAAATACAATTTCTTATTAAACTTTCTGAAAAATCAAATCTTGCACATCCCTAGATATAGTTCTCCTATCTGGAGACCTCTTAGACCTTGGACCCTAGCGTTAGCGCCCTCTTCTATAACTTCTCGAATCCCCTAAGCCCCCGCCCGCTCTCATACGCTCCATCTCTCTAACACAATATACCTCTCGTCTCTCCTCATTCCTACCAGGAATTCCATGATTATTTTCCTAACCGATCCGCCATCCTCTGATGTTTATAAGTGCTCTCATATTTCGGACTGCCTCGTGAGTAGTTGTAAATCTGAAAATTCGAGTAATGGGCATAGCATAAGTACTTTAGTTGCTAAATATATCCCTTTTACTTACCCGGTTAAATCTTTTGACTTGTCTATAAAACAAATTTCTTATTGGCGACAGCTCCAATAATCGTCTCACCTAACTTTTCGGACAAAGGGTCTAGGATAATTAGGAGGAACTGCCCCCTACCCTCGCTGACACTCTCACCGGCCATCAAATTCTTGAAAGATATTGCCATGAATATAGTAGCTCTTACAAATAAAAAAATATTCCATTCTTCTGATTTCTTTCAATCAAGCTTTTTATTAATATCAGTAAATACCCCAATGACTGTTAAATATTATGAAATTACACGACTACCTTGTACTCTTCGCATCCCCCACTATATTATATATTAATAATATTTTTGTATTAAATCCTTGAGTTTTTTGCACCTCTTGAAACCGGGAAAAAAGGGCAGGAAAAAGGGGCCTTTAAAGAATTATAGATTTCCCCCTCTCCTAACGTTCCTCAGGCCCCCCCCCTGCTTTACGGGTATGTTACCCA